CTCCCTCCTCCCGTGCACTACATATAGGTCAGACGTGTCCCGGGGTTATTGTTCGGATATATGGTGACTGACAGTTCTGGGAAGGGGAAGGTTAGGAAGGGGAACACATCTGTCCTTGCCTCTACTACATGTCCTTAACCTTCCCCGGCTCTGCAATGGACTGGAGGTGCTGCGGCGCCCCTGGCAGTGTCGGGATTAAGCTTTCGCTCTCTCTGTTGCCGCTTCTCCCAGAATCCTCTGCAGGCCGGCTAAGCATCACTGATTCTAGATGGCAGCCGGGGCAGAAAGAAGAATTCCGTCGGGGGGGGAAAATCATCCGGCTTTGTTTTCTATGGAGCTTTGTTTGCTGATGTTGGTTAGACGCTTTTTTTTTGCATCTTGATTGATTGGATGTTCACTGGATGAAAATATCAATACATTCTGTGTATTGTCCGGAGTATTCAATGTATACGCTCCATTCAGAAATGATGATAAAGCATTGGAATGCATAGACGGAGCACAGACTGGCTGCTCTATACTTTAGTACATAGCCCCTCCCACTCACTCTGGAGATCCGGGAACCCCTGTTTGTAATGCAGGAGAAGGAATACCAGGACACACCCCCTACTACAAGCATCACATATCTAAATCTGTGTTGAGGTTTCCTCAGCCACCAATCAGATGTAAACTTTCCTTGAAAGGTTGCACCGGATCAGCACTGGCTTCAGGAAGCTGACCTTCCCTCGGACCATGTGCATGGATTACAGAGGGCCGGTGGTCCTTCTGTCTTTAGAATGGCTTCAGTGTTTGCTGGGTCGCTTTCACATGTTGCCAGTTACTGCTTTGGCCATGCAGGGAAAAGTGACAGGTTACCTTTAATGCAGATTCCCCCCCATAGATACATATACTTACCTTCCCTTTGCTGTATTCTAACTGGAGTCCAGGGCTATGTCTACTAAACTGTGCTTGGCCCAGGGCTGTGATATGGGGTGAAGTCACAGTGCTGGCAGGAGAGCAAAGGTAAGGCAAGT